CGCAGTGCCTAGAGCTAAATCTATCACAAAATCGATCTCACGACTAGGTGGCAACCCTGGAATCTCCTGAAATACATCAGGGAAATCCTGTACAATCGGTATGTTATCCAATGACACAGTAATCCCCTCCTCATTTTCCTCCTCCACATGGAACAAATAGGTACTACCGCCCCCTTTAGAACGTGACATAGCTACTACATACATATCCTGACCAGGTATGGTAAAAATAATAGATCTATCAAAACAAACAACTTGGGCATGGTAGTGAGACAACCAATCCATCCCAAGTATCACATCATAAGTGTGCATGTCCAGGACCAATAGATTGGCTAGAAATCTGAGTCTACCATATCTAGTGTCACAGGCCCATCACTCTCATGTATAATAGCTGTATCACCCAATGGTATAGAAATACCATGAGGTCTAGTGCATACCCTCGTCCTCATCCCAGACAAAACAACAAAAGTCCTAGCTACAAATGAGTGTGTAGCATCCGTATCAAATAAAACACGTACATGCAAACCATGAATAAGAAACTTACCCTCAATAGTCTGAGGTGCCTGAACATCCTGTGGCATGGGGTTATACACCCTGCCATAGTGCAACTGCTGTGGTGCCTGTCCCTGAGTCTGCGGCGGTGCCGGTAAAGGCAGATGTGTCTGTCCCTGAATCCGTGGAACCTGTGGAGTTGGTAGAGGCACTGGCGCCCTCTGTCCCTGCTGCACATACTGTCTCTGTCCCTGTCCTTGTCCTGCTTTAGGACACTGCTTGGTGGTATGACCATACTCTCCACAAGTGAAACAACTACCCTGGAAAGTACCAAATGGCCTCCTCTGTCGGTTAGCCTGTGGCTGACCCTGTCCTGCCTGTGGTCCCCCATTCTGTTGCCTCTGAATAGGTGCCCCATTCCGGTAAGCATCTGAACCACCTTTGTGCTTCTTCCAAGGCTGTTGTCCTTGGAACTTGCCTTTGTCATTCTGCCGGTGACCATTGCCATTCCCCTTTTCAGCTGACTAACTAGTAGAGTCTTTATCTCCCCGCTTCTCACCACGAGCCTGTCTGATGTCCACAGTCAACTGATACTATTGTAGAGCGGCGTCTACCACCTGAGCATAGGTAGTATAGGCTGGACTACCTGTAATAGCTCTCTTGATAGACCACATCAGTCCCTTGACAAAACTGTTGCGCTTCTTCTCCTCTGTATCCACCTCCTCCGGTGCAAAGAGAGACAAGCGTGTGAACTGCTACTCATACTCCACCACTGTCATGTTTCCCTACTACAGACTTAGAAACTCGGTCTTCATAGCTGCCCTGACTGCATAGGGAAAATATTTCTCATCAAAGCAAGCATTGAACTCATCATAAGACAATGTCATCCTCTCCTCTAAGGTGGTAACTGACTCCCACCACTGTAGTGCATCCCCAACTAGCTTGAAAGTAGCAAGCATCTGCTTCTGAACCTCCGTGCACTGAACCAAACGAAGATGACGCTCAATGTCCTATTTCCACTAGTGAGCTGTTCTCGCATCGGTTGAGCCTGAGAACACAGGTGGACTCCCCTTTGTGAAAGAGCTCCTAGCCTTTCCCCAAGAATTCGTCTGAACCACTGGTGCTGGTACAGGTGCCGGCTGTACCTGAGGCTGATTCCGAAATGCAGCTGTTACCCCAGCCTCTATAGCCCGAGCAACGAGGTCATTGAGGTGAGGAGGAATCTCTGGATCTCTGACCTGGTCCAGAGTCTGTTGAACATTCTCCTGTTCCTCCTGAAACTGATCCATGTCATCATGAAACCCAAGCCTTTGCTGCTCTTCCTCCATTTGTTGACGCCGTAGGAGATATTGTTGCCTACGTGTCGTTCTCTTTTCCTTCCTAGTTCCTTGCATTTTCTGTCCATTTCTAGCGTTAACCATCTATTAACACGAAAAGATAGACGTCAGTACCCTTTCTATACGAACCATAAGGAATACAATGAATCCTAACTTAAGCTCTATTCAAGAGAAAACGCTACGCGGAAGATTTAATACGAAAACATCCTAGAGACACTTGAACCTGGAGTGCTCTGATACCAACTGTGATACCCCTCGGATCCGAGACACGGGTTGATCAGGCACAGGCACAGGCCCAAACCCGAGGGAATATCAAACAATTAATATTCTATAATGAACACGGAATACAAAATAAATTAAGAAATGAAATTAAAGCTGGAAGGAACTAAAAATAGAATCCGCAAAATATTATAATTATTAAAATCCATCAAACCCAAACTCCAAAACTCCATCAGTTTACAACTTGGGAATCCATCTCTAGTGGACCCCTATTAAACATCCAAACGGAAGATAGAACAACTGTAATAAACGTCCAGAAATAAAACTATAGAGAGAGCCCTACATCGTCGAAAAAGTGAATAGAGACCTCTGCTCAGCACGAACACGTCTAAGCCTAGAACTGTCGTGTACCTGAAAAATAGAAGTGGGTCAGGCCCACGCGCAAGTTCTATACTACTACAATCCAAACAGAGGCCAGATACGCATGTACATCCCAAACAATTCAACAATAGCTAATAGTCCGTAAAAATATTTATAGTCACACTAAAGGACTCTCACTGGACTACAGGCCGGTCTCAACCTGAATAGAGGTAACATGTTAAAACACACACGAAGTGGGCATATGTACCTATACCTAAATAGGGTACACCTCCAACCATCGTAGCCAGCTACACATCCCGATGCATATACGCTCCCTAGCCATCGGTCCTGAGGCTCAAGCTCATACCGAGGCACCATAACAGTACATATATAAAATCCATCCAAAATCCCTGGTATTGCCGCTCAACAAGTAGTTGCCATGACAATACAAATCTACGAGACTTAACTTTTAGTTAATCCCATCCTTATTCCAAGTAGGTGAGTAATGGTATTGTTTTAAAAACCAAACCCATCCTTAGTATGCCACCGTCCCATACCGGTGCCTACTTTCCAATCCTCCAGTAGTCAATAATACAAATAAATCAAGTATATATCAACTAAATTCCAACATCCAACATTCAATGTTAGCAGTGATAAAATAAGCATTGATAAACAGGGCCACAACAACAACATATACATGCCCAATTTAAGTTGTTCCCTTTAGTCTGATATAAAGACAAAATTAATTAAAACTTCCATTTAACACCTTACAAATGACATACAGATATGTAGGGTATGTATCACAAAATCCTAACCTCCACAGTTGATACTAACTGTGATAATGTAAGCATCAAAACAATATTCACAGTATGTATGTAGACATACTCAAATTATAGTGTTCCACAAAACCGATCTAGTGTTAAACTCAAATCCTCCTAGTATTTAAGTTCCAACAGTTGCTATTACAGAAGTTAAGATAGCTATCATCTAGACCCATCCTTCCAATAATTTATACTAGCAGTGGTAAGGAAAAACATGAGCCACAGAACCACAATGCATCCACAAACATGCTTAGTCTAGGTTGAACAAGCATACAACACTACTGTAACTACCAGTTTCATAGCAAAACAGATATCATTTTAGTTTGGTTTAATCTTCATTAATCCTGAAATCATTTAAGAGTGCAAAGAGTATGAAGCCTAAGGGAAAGAGTAAGGATAGAATCTTGCCTTAGAAACTTTTGTTCAAAGTTTCAACGTCGTCTTCTTAAAAAGTCCCGGCGAGTTCCAAAACCCGGTTACTGTTCACGGGTACGAAACACTATTCCCGAACTCAAAATATGATCTCCACAGTTCAGATTGTGAGACACTGAGTCATGAACCTATCCTCCAAATTTTAGCTCGATCGGACCACGGACGAAGCAGGATCGGATGTTTGATGAAATCTGGGCAGAATGGAAAAAAAACTTGTGCGACCCAGTTACTGTTCACGAGTACGAATCACTGTTCCCGAGGTCAAACTCTGATCTCCACCGTTCAGATTGTGTGTCACTGAGTCATGAACCTCTCCTCCAAAATTCAGCTCAATCGGACAACGGACGAAGTAGGATCGGAGCTTTGATCAAACCTTCGCAGAATGTGAAAAACTGCATTTTTCCTTCTCCACTTCCACAAAACGTGTGCTTTGTTTAAAAAAACCCTACACAGACGTCTACCTTATACTTATAGAGTTTTCCTAAACCCTAAGTTCATTTAAGTCCAACTCACAATCCTAACCGGCCCATCCAATTAACGTAGAAACCTACGACGGCTATAATATAAAACCCTAATTTATACTGTAATTAAAACCCTAGTTAGATGTATTTGCCTAATTACCCTATTCACCATTAAATACTTAACAAATAATCTAATTGAACAAAATAATAATTAGTAAACCCAATTAAACCAAATAAGACACACATAAAATAATTAAACCAATTACACTTAAACCATTAATGCCAATTAAATAATTAAAACACTAACAAGTAATTCCAATCAAATAACTAAACCAATAAATATCATTTAAATAAATTAAATCACCACAAAAGAAAACAATTAAGCACCTAATAAAAAAAAATAATGACACATAATCAAATAAAATGCACTTAAATAATAAATTAAATACCATTAAATACTAAGAATATCCTTTTTAAAATTAGGGGTATTACACATTACATCCAGCACAACTATGTACAGGCAACTGCCTAATCTCACAGGTATCCACCGTTACACAAGAATCAATCACTGTATTTTCTCATTTCCTCTATGGACAATCCCTCTTCATGTAGCCCGACTGACCACACCGAAAATAAACTCCGGAACTAGGTCGATCAAGAAGACACTCCGCCTTGCAGTGTCCTGACTGTCTACAGTGATAACACAACAAACTCATCCTAGAGGACCCCGAAGAAACACTAATAATAGGAGTAACACATGCCGTCCACTGCCCCTGAGAAAACAACGAAGCACCTCTGTACCTTTTTCTATCCTGGCTCCCAGAAAAAGTACTCACATTTGTACCTCGTTCCTGAGAACCCACAATACCACTCCTTTCTTGTTAATCTTTGGCCTCTGTTTCTGCCATCAGTGCTTTCGTAACCGCTTCCGAATAATTCTTCAATCCCAAAAGTGTCACCCCCGGCCTAATAGAACGATTTAGACCGTACACAAACCGCCATGTCTTCTCTTCTTCGTTCCCTGACACATCTGTAGTGAAACGTGAAAGAGACGTGAACTTATTCTCATACTCTGTCACTGACATGTCACCTTGTTCAAGCCCGTCAAACTGCGTCCTCAATTCCCGTCTCTTGGTCTGCGGGAAATACTTATCAAAGAAAAAATTCTTAAATGAATCCCAACTCATACTATCAATATTGTGTGCACTAGTCATGGTCTTCCACCATACTGCCGTGTCTTTAACAAACTTATACGTGGCTAAGGTGGTCTTCAACCGATCATCAGGTATATCTATTGCCCTTAAATGCTTTTCAACTTCATCAAGCCAGTCGTCTGCAACAAACGGGTCTGGACCTCCCTCGAATGCTACTTTAATGAATTTATTAAACTGAAAAAGGTACCGAAGATTCTGTAATACCCCTAAATTTTCTAATTTCTAAGGTTTTATTTATTTATTTATTTATTTATCATTTTAATTATCTACATGGCTATTTGAATTGGTTGTGCATTTGTGTTAGGATTTTTCATTTTAATTATCTATGTGGCTATTTGAATTGGTTGTGCATTTGTTTTAGGATTTTCTTTGTTTGTCAGTTAAATATTAATTATTTAGTGTTTGATTTATTTCATTATTTTTAGGGTTTATTGTATTTCATTATTGTTATTTTATTTTTATTTTTTTATGTACTTGACTAATTGAATTGTTGTTAGGTGTTTATTTAGTTGTCATTTAAATGGTCATTATTTAGTTGTAATTTTTTTTTTATTTAATTGTAAATTTTTCTTTGATGTTATTTTTATTTTATTTTATTTATTTATTTATTATTATTAGTTTTTAGTTAGTTGTATGGATGGGTGATATATATATTAATTATATATATCTATATTAAAGTATTATATATATATATATATACACATATATATATATATATATGTATGTAAATATACATAGATGTATAGGGACCTATATTTCGTACAGTAGTTAGTGGTTAGGCTGCTTGTTATTGTTGTTATGTTAGTTAGTATATAACATATATTTTATATAATATTTAACATAGCAACTGGTGTGTTACAAGGTTAGCATATTAGTGGGTTCCTTTGCCAAACGTGGCTTTAAGAGGGTGGACTAGTTATGTTAGGTCTGGTACCTATGTTGTATTAGAATTAGGTTTTATATTTTATTTATATATATATATAGTTTGCTGATGGGTTTGTAAAAGAGGAACAAGACAGAAAAGAAAAAAACAAGAACAGAGCAGCGGCGCGAGAGAGAAAGGAAAGAGAGGAAGAAAGAAGGAAAAAGAAAGAGAAATTGGGAAGAAGGGCGTAGTATTTTTGGGCCGAAATTCTTGGGGCAAGTCCTTGTTCTATTCATTCTCTTAGAATCGTGTTCGGTTCATCTCTAGAATGATGCTAGGATTTAATTACAATTATAAATTTAAAAATTTTCATGCCAAAAAGACTAACTGAATATGAGGTTTATGGGTTTGTGTATATATAGATAGCTATATATATTCATGTGCACACTTGCTAGTTTTCTGAGATTAAATATACATGGGCATGATTTAAATTATTTTTGTGGGTCTTGTGAATTGATGACCGACTCATGGCTGGTAGGATGTATGTGGGTTTTGCGAATTGTTGTGGCATCACAGAATGAGTTGTTCTGTTGGGTTAAAAATAATAATAATAATAATAATAATAATAATAATAATAATAACAATTAAAAAGTAAAATTAAAATTAAAATTAAAATTAAAATTAAGTATATATATCCGGGTAGTGGTTTAAATATAAGAACAATTAATATATACCATATAAGAACAATTATCGTAAAGGATGGTAGTATGTTAATTGATCATGTAACGGTAAATGACTTTATCTGCCTTATAAACTACTCCCATGATACTTATGCTATCTTGCATTGTTATATCAATTGTTCCAGTTTATAGACTATTAATGGTCATATATGCATGGGACTATATATGTATATGAACGTATACATACTTGTATAGAAGTGTATAATGGAGGACCATTGTCAGGATATGGTCTTAGCAGCACCATTGTTAGGATATGGCTTGCTGATATATGTAAGGGCTAGCTATTAAGTCTAGACCTATACGTTGTGTCATACCATTGTCAGGATATGGTTATGACTTTAAATTGTGCCATTCTCGGGATATGGCTACAGTTACTTAAATATATTTTAATTGGGTACCATGATACGAGTTTGAGATCTCGGGATTGATGGTTAGGGTTGGCGTATATTGCCAGAGGAGATGAGTAGCTGGTTATAAGAATGTGAGTGCCCTGGTAGAAGAGGTAGTCATGACCACCTTGTGTGTGCGTATATGAGACCTACTATCCGGTTGAGGCTGTCTTATGATCTAATGAAAGTCTATAGTGTGTGTACTTATGTATATTGACCTACGTAGTTATTGCATGAGTCAGATTAGAATGTATCGTTTCTCGGGTCTCTGTTTGGGATGTAGTAGAAAGGGCTTGTTCGTGGGTTTTGACCCACCTTTGTTGTTATCTTTTCAGGTCCTCGACAGTTCCAGACATAGAGTCAGTTCGTGCAGAACAGAGGCCAGACTTCATCACTCTTCCGGTGTCATTGACGTAGGACTTCCACTATGTTTTTATTATTATTTATTATTTTGAGTTAGACATTTATTTATTTTGTCTTTAGTTGGGATTTTGATTAGGGGTCCACACCGTATGGATTCCCAAGTTGTACTTTGGAGGTTTTATTCCTATATGGGAATTTATTGGAGATTAACGTATTAGAGGTTTTATTGTTTAATTATTATTTTAGGTTTCCCTTTCAGCGTGATTTATTTATTATTTTATTTCTTCTTGTATTTTGTGCTTGTTTATTATTGATTGGCTGATATCCAATGATTTTGTGCGCGGACCTGATCAACCCATGTTCCGAAATTAGGGGGTATCACAGATTCCGCTCCATCCCCGTCTCCTATGGGTCAATAGCCGGTTGTGGTACCACTTGAAGAGCTGTGGTACTCGCTAAATTCTGAAAGGCTGAGGCTACAGCCCTTGCTAATGGAACATTGTCCTCCGGTACTTGTGGATTTTCATCCACTTCTTTAACTTGGTGCTGTCCCAATGAAACCCTATCCGGCTGGGATATCCCTTTACCTACTCGCTCCTTAACTTCATCTGGATCCATCTCTCTACATCACCCTCAAGCGTGGTTCTACAAAAGCAACTATACGATCAAAACGAGAATACAAGAAATAGCTCAATCCACGAGCTATGGTGCTCACACTATTCATTCGATAAGAACTAAATATTTATAAACGCGCTAATCATACATACATCCACTCCCTAGTGGATGGACGACCACAACATAAACCTAAACATGCAACTATGTCCTAAAATAGGATCATAACTATCGTGCTCAAATAAAAGTTGTCACATCCTATTATATATGTTTTACATAACTCGTGCTCAATTACATGCAATAAGAACTCATATAACATGCTTTTAATAATAATAACACTTAACAATTAAGCACGTAGTCAACTAAGCATACTTTCATCAACAGTAACAAGTAACAAGTAAACATGTAGCAAATCGATCATGCTTTAGACAAATTTATTCATACAAGTAGTTGCACATAAACATTTAGCATCAACAATTAGGCATGCTTCTACATTCATCAAATAACAACAAATCATGCTTTTACATTCAACAATTAATAAACTCAATGAGTAACGAACACTTAGACATATAATAAACATAGTAACATCTAAGCACATAAGCATATAACAATAAGTCATGTTTTTGAACCAAAAAGTAATAACCATATAAGCACGTAATGTCGTCAAAACCAATTCTAACTCATCTAGGTCAACCCTACCTGTCATCCTTAGGTTTTCAAACCTAAAGCTCTAATACCAAATTTGTAATGACCCAAACTAGGGGTCCGAATCGTTAACCGGGTCTTTCACCAAATCTGAGGACACACTAGGGGTAAAATGGTCATTTTTCACTGTGAAATGGTAATAAGACCTTAAAATAGTCAAATGAGGTCTAAAACAATTATTCTAGTTATTCCATAATACTCGGTGAAGTTTTACAGTCACTGGATATGAATTCCCAAAATACCCTTTTCCCGGTTCAAAAGGAATCCCGACACTGTCCCACTAAAATGATTATAACTCTCAACATGAGTGGAATTTGGAGATGGGGTTGATCTTATTGGAAATTTAACTCAAAATCCTTAAATATGGGCTCAAGAATGACCCTATTTGGGTTCGAAACGAAGAAATTATGACCATTCAAAGTTGTGTGCTCAAAACTAACGAGCTGACAAGGGAAAAATGCACATTGGAAGACTTGAACTGGTTCAAGATTCTTGAACCGGTTCAAGATGGGCAGTATGCCCACTCGAGAACCATTTGCACCCTTTGAACCGGTTCAACTGGGGTTGAATCGGTTCAAAACACCCAGAACCCTGAAAATACCCTAGAAAGCTTAAAATCTTGAATTTTTACATTTTTGCACTACTTTAGTCCTTATGTAACCTTATTTAAAGCTCAAACCTGCCCCAAATCTTTCATTTGACAGTATAAAAACATAATTAAACTCTCTTTCATTCAAATAAACCGAATACAAGCCCAATACATCATTTAAAGACTGAATTATATAAGTATCATTTTATACAAGTTCCAATTAATTAAATACAAGAATGAGGCCTCATTGGCCAAAATTACATAACTTTAATATGTATAAAAATGAAATGAATTTCTAGATACATCTAATGAGTGCTAAAAAGTGCATATTTAAACCCCTTAAGCTTAGGCATTCTAAAAGCCAAATTCCCGTTATCCTTGGCCGTCCTTTCTTGGCAACCGCTAATGCCAACATCAATTGTAGGACGGGGATAATGAAGATCTCATTTGGCCACATAAAGGTGAAGTTGAATATCTTTAATCCCACACCCAATTCATTTGAAAAATATGAAGGATAAGTTAATGTTGTAGATAAATGTCATGATCTTCAATGTCAAGGAAGTGAGCTTTTATGTAAGACCAAAACTTCCAAAGGATTATCTTCAACCTTGCATTCTCAAAGTGTTATTTCAAATTCTTGCTTTGAAAGGGCATGGAAACCCAAAGGTTGTGATTGCATAGATAAGGGACCAAAGGTTTCTTTTGAGCTTAATCCAACAAGTTCTTCAAAGAATCATTTGTTGGGTGGAATTCAAAGCATCTATCACCCCAACAAGGAGGGGATGCATTATAAGATCTTGATCCGGACTAAAAGAGCCAAATGTCTGGCTAGAGACGTTAAAGACTAGCAAAAACATTTCGTAGGGTGTCAAAACCCTATTCCTCCCCCATTTCTATCTTAAATTTCATTTCTTGCGAAGTCTAGATACTTGTTTTTGGTTCATATGCATTGAAAGGAACTTTAATGAGGATTGCATGAGCTTTCATGTCATTATCGAGCATTCTGCATAGTTCGATCTGTGATACCCCTGGATTTCCGAATGCGGGTTGGCTAGGCCCACGCCCGAATACCCCGAGGATATCAAAACAAATTGATAATAAACGAACACAGAGTACAAAATAATAAAGAAAATGCTGACAAAAAACTAAAATGATAATCTAATAATAACCCTCAGAATATATTTCCATTAATTAATAAACTCTTCTGATACAACTGATCCTTCAAAATACAACTCGGGAATCTATACTGTGTGGACCCCTAGAAAATCCAAACTAAACAAATGACAGCAATAACCGCCTAAATCAGGAAACTGAATCATAAAGGAACTCCTATGTAGCATCGGAAGAATGAAATAGACTGATCACCGTTCAGCACGAACAACCTCTACTCCTGACGAACACCTGAAAAATAATGGTGGGTCAGGCCCACAAACAAGTTCTACTCTATTACAGTCCAAGCAGAGATCAGATACACGTATACATCCTAGTCAATCCAAACAGTAACTAGTAATCCGTATATATATATATATATATATATATATATATACACACACACACTAAAGGAACCTCACTAGACTATAGGGTTGTCTCAACCTGAATAGTAGGCAACATGCAAAATGCACATATAGTGGGCACGAGTTCCTAGACCTACCAGGGTACACAACTACACTATATCTAGCTACACATCCCTGGCGATATACGCGCCCTAACCACTAATCCTGAGACTCAAACTCATATCATGGCACCATACTTATATATATATAATTTAATAACCATCCTATCCAGTATAAATTAATCCTCCATAAGTCATTCAACTTGTTCAGCTGACTTGACTTAAATATAAGTAGGACTTAACATTTTAGTTAATCTATTCCCTTATATAATAAATTAATCCTCCATAAGTCATTCAACTTGTTCAGCTGACCTGACTTGAATATAAGTAGGACTTAACATTTTAGTTAATCCATTCCCTTATATAAAAATAGGTAAGACTTAACTGATAAGTTAATCCGTCCCCAAAATGCCACCGTCCCATACCGACGCATTAAACCACACAATACAACAATTGATGTAACGATTAAGGAAATACATCAAACAATCCAGAAATAACTATGATAATATGATATCAAGTTATCACAAAATAGGAATGACTTATTATTTATTTAAGCTTCTTATATCATATGTCCTACACAAACTGAATCTTATACATGATGATATTTTATTATACCGTCAAATAAGCATTCTCCATATCCAATTCATCCTACACATTTAATCTTAATTGCTAAAACATTTTAAAAGATTAAATCCATTCGTTTGTTTAAAACATTCAAATAGCAAGCATCATTATGATTGAGTCTATTTAAATCTATTTAAACCCAAACCTAGTTCCTATTTAATGTTTAGGAATCCTAGGCATGTTTCTACGTTCCATCATTCCACAGATATGAAAAATACATAATTTAAACATATAAAAATTCACACCAGAAATCAAATCAAAATCATACATTTATCAATTCATAACACAAGAACAGATATGAACCAATTTCATAAAACCTATGTTCTAATCCAATTAAACATACATAATTATTTAATTTTATGTGTTTAATAAATCCTGAAATTTTCTAGGCATGTACAGAAACATGAATCAAAGGGAAAGAGATAGAGTGAAGAACTTGCCTTAAACTTTCGGATCGAAAGTTAAACTTCTTCTTCCTTGATCTTCTCTCTACAGGGTTTTTTTCCTCCTTCCCTCTCTAACTCTCTCTCTAGAATACATCACGTGAATATTTCTAACCCCCTTTTATAACCTATAACTATATATTTATAGGCTAAATAAAATAACCCTAACCCTTTTCCTAATCCAAGTCAACTTAAAAAAATAAATATTAAAATATTAAAAAGGTAAGTAAAATATGTTACGTATATAATTTATGTATATCTTTATTAAATAAATAAATTATACACATCCCATTATTTATTAATGGATTACCAATAATACTTAAGTTATCGTAATATTATAAAGTAACTTAAAACATAACACGTATCAAATTTATGTATATTTTTATTATTTAAATATAAAACATATACATCAGATTGAATATTACTACCCAAGTTACCATAAAAGTAATTAATAAATTACTTTCCCTTTTATATATATTAAAAGGTAAGTAAAATATGTTACGTATATAATTTATGTATATCTTTATTAAATAATAAATTATACACATTCCATTATTTATTAATGGATTATCCAATAATACTTAAGTTACCATAATATTATAAAATAACTTAAAACATAACACGTATCAAATCTATGTATATTTTTATTATTTAAATATAAAACATATACATCAGATTAAATATTACTACCCAATTTACCATAAAAGTAATTAATAAATTACTTTCCCTTTTATATATGTATATAATATATATCTATATATATACATGCACAACGATCCATGGTAATAATCCATACACATTCAACCTCCTATCCAAGTAATTCGTGGGACCTAATTGGTTGGCCCATGACTACTAACCATAACCATAAAAGAAAAATAAAATAATAAAAGAAAAGAAAACATTTAATTTATAATTAATCAAAACATCATTTAAGCACATAATCTAATTAAACAATTAACACATAGACAAATACAAATAATACATGGACACATAATCAAATAATCAAGTAATACCTAATTCAATTAAACACATA